TATTTAAACGCTGCTTGTGATGGGATTTGGTTCATAATGTGACTTTCTCATCACCACCTGCATTTGGTGGTTATCAGTGTACAAAACAGATTTCAGTACTTCAATAGGTTGGTATATTAACATTATATCAGTTAATGAAATTACGGTATTTAACTGTAAATTTAAGTTAAAACTGTAAAACCTAAAAATGTTGTTACCGTATTTTTTACGGTAAAATTCCGGCAACCACAGTTGCCATTTTTTTACCGTAAATTTTTTTTACAGTGTAATAAGGTCCTGACAGACCAGGAAACCTCAACTGAGCATGCTCAGATTTAACTTTGGATTAGACAGAAAAAGCCAGTGGCACTGAAATAAACATATCTGTTTCAAAACTACAAACACAACACAACACGACTTAAACATTATATGTGTTAATATACTAGCTGATATAATAATTTACAGACCATGTCTGTGCAAAGTTACCCCTCTTACAACTCCTGTAAAGCCTTTAAACCCTGTAGAATTCCACAAAAATATGCAAGGATACCAGAAAAGGATGCAACATAACTATCCAAAAAAACTGCAGAACTAACATAACACAAACCAAAAGCACTCCACCTGTAGGAATTACACCAGCAATGCATAACCAGGAGTTCATCTGCCTAGAAAAGCAGTCCCTCCTCAAAAAGGATGATGGAATATTTAATATAAGGACTTGTATATATATGCACAAACTGCACATCCGTCTACAAGCTTTAAAAGAATAGGCAATGATTTCTACAATCAAACAGAAAAATTATTTTCTTTCCATTTCATCTTTCATAAGAAAGTGAATTCTGATCCATAGGCTGTGATTTTGATGCTCTTTGCACATCACAGGTGAAAAGCCTCATTCCTAGAGTCACTTTGATAACGTATCCTCATGAAACACTGCAGGATAAAGCAGAAACAGATGATCAGGTTACAAAAGTATCCAACTCTGCAGTTTAGGTACTAAAAAGAGAGGGAAAAAAGAAAAAGAAATGTGTTTAAGACAATGAACTCAATACAGGAAATCTGCTTGTAAACCAGCAAACACTAGTTCACACCACTTGTTAACATTTCAGGTTGATCTAACACACACACACACACACACACACACACACACACAGACACACACACACACACACACACACA